CCGCTCTGTCGGCGCAAAGGGGGCGATAATGGGGTGGGGCCTACCGCAGAAAGCTTCCGCTTTATGGATGCATTGCTCGATCACATCGAGGCCGCTCACGCGGATGACGGCGGCGCCGACGCGCTCACGGAGGCGGAGTGGGAGTCTCTCTGCGCTATCGAGCACACAATGTACGGTAAATCGAATCATTCCGTCAGCGAGATCACCGCGGAGGAAGGAGTAAACGGTGGCGAATTGTCGCCGATCTCCAAGTCGGCTGACAAATCCGCAGGGGGAGATGACGGAATAAAGCTCGAAGGTGAAGGGAGAGCTGACCAATCCGTCTCATCTCAACTTCCAGCGGTAGACTCGTCCGTTAATGGTGCGAACACATCAACCAAGACTGAAGGAAATTCAGCAAGCCCTGCGAGTGTAGATGGGGACCAACAATCCCTGGCTTTTCCTTCACTCGCTGGAGTCCCTGAGCACCAGGTTTCTGTGCATTCGCGCATGGCGGTGGAGGTGGTGTTGCTTGGTATTGTGCGGCATATCCAGTATGGGATTCTGCCAGAATCTGTGAAGGCCGAAAACAACGGTGGAGGATATACACAAGTTTTACAAATAGTTCTCGGTGTTGAATCACCGTTACCGCCATCATGCGCCGCATATTTAGAAGAAAATATCGAGGGGAGGGATTCTCGGGACGGTTCTGTCGTTCCCGATGAGGGAAGTTCCACTTCGCAGGTAAAATCCGCGAGACCGCAGGGTGGTATACAGGAGGAGGAGCTTGTGGTGGTGCGCTGCCTGAATGCATGCAATACACTTCCACTTACGCTGCTTCAACAGCAGCTACACATTGGATGCCGAGCTTATGTAGAGGGCGTGCTCAAGATGAACCGACATGTCGATGATATCTCACGTCGATCCCACGCGTATCCATATGTGCGTGTAGTTCCGCCACAAGGATCTATTGTTGTACTGTGATTGAAAGGTAAAACGAGCTAGCCTCTATTTTTTCTACTGGGTTCTCTCTTTAGAGGAGATATGTGTCTGATCAAGGGCTAAAGGAATGTGGTTTTGCCACACATATAGGTGGACGAAGGAGAGGATGAAAGAGGTCGCTATCGTATAATTGGGCTACAAGTGCAAGGAGCGATGACAATGATGGTGAGCACGCTTTGTCTTCTCGATCGTATAACGCAACAAACATTATTGCATAGGAAAAAATATCTGCATCTAATGGTCCGGGGTTCCATCTTTAACCCTTTATTACCTTTTCACGGAAAGTTGACTGTATATACTTTCCTATTTTTAATGAGAATATTTGGGTTTCTTTCCCCTCCCTCTCGGCTTACATTCTCAGGGTATTTCATTTTTATCAGCGGAGTTTTTTCTTTAATTATTTATCCCACCTAGTTCCAGTGCACGCACAATTTCACATCACTACTTTTGAGTGCAAAGTTTTACCACTTGATTTAGGAGGAGAAAAGTGTATTTAAATATCAACCTACCCACCAATTGATACCCTTATAGAAAACGTGATCGATTGCCCACTTATTATTGTCGCTAATATTTTAATGTCTGGTCTATCACTCGCGCAAGCTCGCCTCCGGGAGGAGCGTAAGGTGTGGCGGAAGGATCGGCCCTTCGGCTTTTGGGCGAAACCGCGTGAATTGCCTCCAGCGTCGTCCTCATCACCTGCATCAACGAAAACCCTCGAGGGTTCTCGCACAGGCGGCGTGTTCGCCGAAAAGCGCGCGCGGGATGATAGCGCCCACACGATGACTCCAGCTGGCGTCTCTTCCTCTTCTTCAGGGGGGCATGCAGGCGCGGGGCGGGTTGTCAACGACGCCGTCGGGGCTCCTACGAATACTCCAAATACGAACAACGCAATTGATAATAGCAGCGGCGGGTTAGATCTTCTGCACTGGGAAGCGAGCATCCCTGGCAAACCGGGAACCCCATGGGAGGGGGGGCACTTCCGATTGCTCATGAACTTCACGGAGGATTACCCGACCAGGCCTCCAAAATGCGTCTTTAGCCCTGTTTTGTTTCACCCCAATATTTACCCCAGTGGAACGGTATGCCTGTCGATTCTTAATGAGGAGAAGGATTGGCGGCCGAACATCACCATCAAACAGATTTTACTAAGTATCCAAGAGCTTCTGAATAATCCCAACATCAAGGACCCCGCACAGGAGGAGCCATATCGAGTGTACGTGCGGGATATCAAGGAGTACGAGCAGCGTGTGCGTGAGGAGGTGCGCAAGCACCATATGAACCCCTAAGAAACTTTTGAATCCACTCTCTTTGATTCAGTGAACAAAAAGGGAAAGGTAGCAATTATTCCTTCTTTTAAGATATGGGTACCACTATACTTTCTCGATTCACATCGTCGCACTACCGATAACGCCCCATCTTATGAGCAGGGAAGGGGACGGTAGTAAGATGACAGTAGATCTATGATGGCGGCAAATAGTATTAATTTGACAAAAGTAAGTAATTAAGATAGATACTCTCTTTGTCTGTGTGCAAGCTCCTTGTGTGACAGGATGCTGCGCAATGCACTTTATGCAGACGCAGTTGAGCGCACTCGACTCTCATCTTTCCCTAGTTGAAGGGAAGGATAAGAGATTTTGTTATTCCCCTCTTTTCCCAATGATTTCCGTTTTTCGTAATTCCGACCCATTTGCATAAGAAACCAGAGAGAAGAACTACAGGGGGATCTCTTTCTCCCCCTGTGCCTAGGCTCCCGACCCATACACCTACATTTTTATTAGCATTCATTACTGTTCCTTCAGGGCAGCCGTTATTATTAGTAATTGTTGTAATCATTGCGATTAGGATAAATGGGCCGTGCGTCCAAGGATAAGCGGGATATCTATTACCGCAAGGCCAAAGAGGAAGGCTACCGCGCCCGGAGCGCCTACAAGCTCCTCCAGATCCACGAGGAGTTCAATATCTTAGATCCGAGGCGAATTCGCACCGGTGTGGTGGATTTGTGCGCGGCGCCCGGGAGCTGGTCGCAGGTGCTTGCCGCGAAACTTCACTCGGACGAGGCGGTGGATGGGGAAAAGCGATCGCGGCGAGAGGATGAGGCTGACATCGACTCGAGGGAGGGGGTGGGGGGTGGGGAAGATGCCACCTCCTCCAACCACAACCGCTGCCATCGTCGTCATCCGGTGATCATCGCGGTGGATCTTCAGGAGATGGCGCCGATTGAGGGGGTTTGCATTCTGCAGGGCGATATCACCAGCGCGGTGACCGCGCGCGAGATTATTCGTCTGCTGAACGAACACCACACCTCCTCCTCAGCGGAAGAAGAAGAGGGGGAGGAAAGGAAGGGTGAGAAAAAGCAGAAAGAGGGGATGCTGCAGAGGAGGGCAGAGCTTGTGGTGTGTGATGGCGCGCCCGACGTTACCGGGATGCACGAGCTCGACGAGTACCTCCAACACCACCTCCTCCTCGCCGCGTTGAACCTCGCGACGTTCGTCCTTTGCCTGGGCGGCTGCACCGTCTCGAAGATCTTTCGCGGCCCCAACACGGGTTTTTTGATCGCGAAGTGCGAGATGTTCTTCCGCGAGGTCCGCGTGGTGAAGCCGAAGTCCTCGCGGAACGCCTCGATGGAGGGGTTTTTGGTTTGCCAGGGCTTTTTCATGCCGGAAGGTTACGTTCCACGATTCCTCACCGGGGGGGGAGCGCCGACGCCGAGTGTTGATCCCGCGAAAGGCGAGGCGGATCGTGGGGGTTACCCTGGCGACGTCTTCACGGAGGCTTCAGGGGCGTTGCACGCGCCCGATTACGCCTACGCGGCGGCATTGGGCGACCCTTCAGCCTTTGAAAAGGGGGAGGAGACCCAGCAGCAGCAGATCGCCCTTCCCGGAGGAGGAGGAGCGACCACGCGGGTGATCCTTCCCTTTCTCTCGTGTGGGGACCTCTCGGGTTATGACGCTGACATGTGTTACGACCTGGAGGAGGGGGGGGAGGTTCTTTCTCCAGTTCAACCGCCGCTAATGGCTCCTTACTTATCCACAACAGCACCCTAGAGTTGTTTATTTATTTTCATTCTCAGAGCAAATATCGAGACGAGGCGACCGTAATGAGCTGAAGCTTTTGAGCCTTGAGTGTCGGCACGTCGCGACGCTTTCTTTCGACACCTCCTTTCGAGTTTAGTGGGATGAGGAATCGACCAGCTAAAGTCCTCAAGTCGTGTAAAAGTGTTCGCCGGAAGGACTCATTTCACGCCACGTCGTGTGTGGTAATGAAGTCTTCCGGGCAGCATTTTAGATAGTAAAAAATGATTAAACGTATAACTAAATATATTTGAGGTAGAAATGTCCTAAGCATTGATTCTCAAATAATGTAATCATACGGTGAAAATATCAAAATGTAATGTGGATAATTACTATTGTTCTGACCATGCTTGCCTGCTCAGCCTTAAAGTCCGCTATCATCTTTCTAATTCTTTCTATGAATTGTGTTATCTCGCTGCGTTTTTGTTAACGTTTCCATCCTTAAATAGTTATACCACCAGAAAAACAACATATTTTAGTTGTATCGTCGCCTTCAATTACTTATCCAATCTGCCTTGGGTCTTGCTTCACGTGTCTGAACCCGTTATATTATTACAAGCTTCTTCCAGTCGCTGTCGCTGTCGCCACCCTCCCTTTTTTTTTTCACCTTTTATAAAAGGTGGAAGTGTCCAAAACAAGTTAGCTTCCTAAGTGCATAATGTCATCGGAGGAAGTGAGTCTCCAGGTGGAGCTCGGGGAGGCCGAGGACTATTACGCTCAGGGGGATCGGAATAAGGCCTGTGAGCTCCTCAATAAAATTGTCTATTCAAACAAAACCCTAGAGTCCGATGATGTAGATGAGATTCGGGCGAAGGAGCAGGCTATATACCGCCTGGCGGAGATTCTCGGTGCTATGAAGCAGGGGGAGGACCTCCTGAATCTTCTGAAAAGCATCCGCCCTTTCTTTGCCCTCTTACCTAAATCGAAGACCACCAATATGGTGCGCAAGCTCTTCGAACGTATCGTGCACTGCGGCGTCTCCCTTGAGAAGCAGCATGAGTTGTGTTTGGAGACGATTCAGTGGGCGCGCGTGGAGAAGCGAACCTTCCTACGCCATCGGCTTCAACTACGCCTTGCGGAGGTTTTGTTCGAGCAGCGGAAGCCTCGTGAGGCGCTAAGCACGCTTATGGGGCTCCTGCACGAGGTTCGCCGCCTGGACGACCGCATGCTGCTGTTGGATATTTATCTTCTTGAGAGCAAAATCAATTATTCCATCCGGAACGCCTCGAAGGCGCGTGCGGCGCTCGTATCCGCGCGGACAACCGCCAACAGCATCTACTGCCCGCCGCTTGCGCAGGCCGAGATCGACCTCCAATCCGGCGTCCTGCACGCCGACGAGAACGACTACAAAACCGCGTTTTCCTACTTCTACGAGGCCTTTGAGGGCTTCCATCAGCTGCCGGATCGCGCGTTGCAGGCGCGGCGGGCGCTGCGCTACCTCATCCTCGCGACGATCGCGACCGACAACCCCGACGAGCTCGCCTCGCTGCTGTCGATGAAGAATGTGTTGGAGTACACCGGCGACGACATCGAGGCCCTGCGCGCGATCGCGAAGGCCTACACCGATCGCGATACCCACCGTTTCAACGACGTTCTCACGCAGCAAAAGGCGCTCTCGCAGCGCGCGGCGGGGCCGTCGAGCGGGAGCCTCCCCAGCGCCTTCACCCTCCTCCACGACGAGGTCGTTCGCCGGCAGCTCCATCAGATGTACGACACCTTGGTCGAGCGGCATCTCCTGAAGATCGTGGAGCCTTATAACCGGGTGCAGATCTCCTACCTCGCGTCGATTCTCGCGCTGAGTGAGGAGGTCGTGGAGTCGCGGCTTTCGCAGCTGATTTTGGATAAGAAGCTGCTCGGGATCGTCGACCAGCAGCACCGCTGCCTGGTCGTGTTTGAGGATCTCGAAAAGCGGGGCGACGCCGGCATGAAGGAGTTCTACGAAAACGCCGCGGAGGAGGCCGCGATGCGGGCGCAGGATCGCACAACGCTGCATCAGGATGCGCTGATGGTGATCGAAAGCTACGATGCACTCGTAACGGCGCTCTTCGATAAAATCGCGGGGAAGTTTGACGGGTTAGTGGAGGAGAATCTCGCAAAACGCCGCGCAGTGAGCGCCCCCGGGTCCTCCGCGGCCAAGGATGGCAAGGAGAACAAGGATAACAAAGAGAACAAGGAATCCTCAAAAAACACAAAGTGAGGAAAGAAAAGGGGGAAAATTCAACGTGTAAGGATATTTGTGTGAGCAAAAAAGTCCACGTCGAGGTATCTGAATGGGATAGCGGTGGTGGGTGTGCTTGAGGGCGGTGGTATACGAGAGAGAACACCAAGCAAGCGAATCGAGAGAAAAAGCAAAATAGAAACAGCGATAATGTATAGTAGAAGTGCTATTCTGTTTTTTTATGGAGGAGCTTTTTCTTCTCGCTTGACTTGTGCGTATGGGTGCGGGAAAGGGGTGTTGTTTTCTCCACATCTTCTATATATTTCATGTGAAATGCAATACTGGCAATCGCTTCGCTTGACGTCTCTTCATTGTGGCGTGTGTTTGTTAGAGAGAGCTAAAAGCTTCGAGGTCAACAAGCCCGGGGACGATTTAGCTGAATATCTAAAACATCTCACTGATAAAGAATCACCAGAATATTAGTTGTCATTGTGAAATGGAGGAATCCAAGCTATCCAATATCTAAAAAAAAGACGGAGGTAGAAATGAAAGACGAGGATGCTACAACCTGAGCAGTAATTCTACACCTTTTTTTTGTTAATAGACCGTCTCCATATTATTTTGCCACTTGAGATAGAGGTTTGACGTTGATTGGTAATAATAAAAAATTGCGAATCCTCAACATTAATAAAGACGCATTTTTGCGTCTTTTTAGTTCTTGTGCCTGAAGACTTTTATATGCATATTCACTTTCTCAGACCTTCTGCTAGCTGATAATTCACGTAGAGAAATTTCTTCTTGTCTGCCTCATTTCTCTTTTATCTCCAGGGGCCCTCTCTATTCATTTTTTTATTCTCATTTTCTATCCGTGCCCACCCCCGTAGCTGAGTTGAGTTAGGGTTCAACCAATTTTTTTTTTTGTCGCTGCTTGTTGTTCGTATTTTCTGCGTTCCAAAATCGTGTGGGTAAGAACTTAAGGGTATTCTTGTAGACTATAGCTACATATATAAACAACCATAACTCGTCAGATCTTTTTCCCCTCGTCATTAGGATTGCTTTCACAAAGAGTGATCCCCTGAAGTCCCCACCTTCTCAACTTTTCCTTTTTCAGCCTATTTCGCGTTCCACGCGCGAAGCCTGAAGGAAAAGGATCGAGAAGTAAGCGAGCCACCGACGCCTTTAGAACACGTCTGCAGGGCTTGTAACTTTTGTTTATTCCCTATCCGCATTCCATTAACTCCGACACCAGGTTCGACAGGACGCTAAGTCCTGTCCTGTTTGTGCTTCCCAGTGTGCTTTTACTTCACATTTGGCAGGAAGCGAAGGGTGGGGTTGCTGGGGAGGATCTCACGAATGAAGGTATCCAATTCCAACGTCGCGGCCCCCTCGCACGCGGATGTGAAAGACGGCCCCAACGCCGAGCGCGCCTCCTGCGGGAGGGCGGAGGGCAGCCCCCTCGCCGCCTCCGCGGGGGCGTTTTCGCACCCCTTTTGGATGATCTGCCGTGAGCTACCAAAGGCGTATTGGAACTACGAAGACTTCGAGATCGAATTCAACAACGACCTCGAGGCCTACGACGCGCACCAAAAGATCGGGCAAGGCAAGTACTCGGAGGTCTTTCGCGGGTGGAATCGCACGACCGGGCGCCCTTGCGTGCTGAAGATCCTAAAACCGGTGCGGTATCGAAAAATTCAGCGGGAGATTTCAATTCTGCAGAATTTATGCGGCGGCCCGAACGTGGTGCGGCTGCTCGACGTGCTGCAGGATGCGCGGACGAACACGATCGTGCTCGTTACCGAGTACGTCGAGAACCCCGTAACGCTGCGATGGCTGATGAATAAGTCGCTGCTGGAGAACTTCGATCTCCGCTACTACATGTATGAGATCCTGCGCACCCTTGACTTCGCCCACCGCCGGGGGATCTTCCATCGCGATATCAAACCGCATAACATTATGATCGATCACAAGCACCGCATCCTGCGCGTGATTGACTGGGGGTTGGCGGAGTACTACCTCCACAACGAGGCCTTGAACTGCGGCGTCGCGACGCGGCATTACAAGGGTCCGGAGCTGCTGCTCGGATACCGTCATTACGACTTCTCGCTCGATATTTGGTGTCTTGGGTGCGTCTTTGCCGGGATTATTTTCCACGCTGATCCTTTTTTCGACGGCTACAGCAACGAGGATCAGCTGCTCCGCATCGTGGCGGTTTTCGGCACCGACGCGGTTCGCCGCTATGTGGCGAAGTACAACGCCCAGATCCCGCGGGCGGTTGTTTCGAACCTGGAAGGCATGGCGCCCGGGCATTGCGGGTGGAAACGGTTTGTGAAGTCATCCGGCTCGAAGCACTGCGATGACCTCGCACTCAATTTGTTAGATAAAATGCTGCAATTTGATCATCAGGATCGAATTATGGCGCATGATGCGATGACGCACCCGTATTTCGAACCCGTGCGCAGGGCTTTGGAGAGTAACCCCAATCAACGGTACCCCTTCGTGCCCGTGTGAGAGGACGGAGGGATAGCTTTGGTTGAGGAAACCCATAACCGAAAAGGGGTTCTTTAGTATATTAAATCATACCGCGAGACTGACAAGGAGAAAGGGTGGAGTGGGAGGAAGAGGAGGAAATGGAAAGAATATAATAATAAATCTTCTTTGAAGGCGCTCGGCGAAATACGACTACTGAAAAAAGGCCATATAATATTAAAGTTTCTATATGTTAAGGCAGAGGGCTTCTAACCCTAACCACATGACATCGTTTTCAGAGGCGAATTATTTTAATCGATGGTGGTAATCATGGTTATTAGGTTTCTTTTTTATTCAGTCTTTGATATTGCTCATTAGGTAATATTTTTTCCGACTACTCTCTCCACGACAAGGAGACATTAAACTGAGAAGCAGAAGAAATGTGATATCATGTGACTTGAGTTTTTGGATCCTTCTCCAAGGCATTCAGCGCTTCAGATATATACACTCGTGCGTGATGTTGATAGCTTGAATTGTGCTTAACCGTTTTTTTTTTGTGTGTGAAAGAGCAGCGAGGGTCTGCTTGGGCTTGTGAGTAGGTTTTTAGAATGCGATATTACATATCCAATGCACTTTTTTATTGCGTTTATGTAGAGTAGATTATGCTCTATGTTAACACTTTTTGAACTGGTGTTGACATTTTGAAATCAAAAGATGAGCTGATATTAAATGGGTTATTTTGGTATATGTTTTGAAGGTAGGTATTTGGGATTTATTACAATATCTATATCTATATATCTCTCTTTATATATATATATATATATATATAAAGTAATATCGTAATGTGCTTGCTTCATATTTTCGTGTACTTTATTTTCTCGTTGGATTGAACTCATCTCAAGAATGGACTTGCTGCTCAGACCAGAAAAAGTTAGAGTTAAAATGAGAGGATTAAGGTAAACCAATTACACAAAAGCAAGGAAGATTCTGTGCGTCTTGGGTCTGCGCACACTTCATTCCCTTACCTTACTGTTGGACCCAAATGCCCTATATGTCTTCTGCTGCATTCGAACTATTCTTCTCCATCTTTACTCGCTTCTTTATGTGCCGTGTACATCCATAGTAGAGGAAGTGATCAGAAGCTTACTTCGTATCCGGAAAAAAACCAACCGGTGATTAAAACAACAACCTAAAAGAGGGTTATTCACATCCCATACGTCTCTTTCTATGAGGCCGACGTTCCGCTCGTTTAGGTGGGCTGCTTTTGCGCGAGGGTGGCGGGGATTCGACGCCACCACGGCCCCCCTCTTCAGGCGAGGGGTTTCTTCTCGAAGTGCGGAAACGCGTCGCCCACAAATGGGCCGCAGTGGGGTGCAAACGAAAAGCAGTGATGCCTTTCGCGCGTATCTACGCCATCTCAACAGCCCGTTCACGGAGGAAGCCTCTGATTTGACGCCCCCTCTCCCATCCTCAGGGATGGATGCGAACATCCCAAGGGGGAACGCCGCGACCGAGGAGGCGCCCTCCCCGCCTCCTCAACGGCCTTCTCGGGATTCTTTTCGCGATGATTCGCGGGGTTTTCCAGGGGATTCTCCCGGTCATTCCCCCGTGGGAGGGATGCACGCGTCCGCTTCACTGCTTCATTCCCTTCGCGCCGACGTGGCGTCGCGGATGCGTCGGGCGGAGCGGCGCCGCCTCGTCGAGGACCTCCGCCGTGCGCAGGTCGCGCTCGCCGCCATCTTGAAGGACCTCCAAGACGTCGTGGAAGGCCACGGCGGGAGGAAACCCGAAAGCGAAAAGGGAAAAGGAAAAGGA